CTCGGTTTGTTCCAGCTTCCGGGACCGGTTCATTCTTCCCTGTCAACAGATTTAACTTCATAACTGGTTTGGACAACAACTTATTGCCAACCTCTTCAAGTGCATCCAAGTTTTCCTTTGTCGTAACATCAACCGAGGCTGTCGGCCCTTGTAAATCGTCCTCCTGCACCATTTTCACATTAACAAATTATATATGGAATTATAAGTTAAAGTGGTGCTAAAAGCTAGGTTGAATAATTGAGTTATTACTTGGATGCGGAGATAGTTTTTTCCGACTTGAAGAGCCTGGAAAATGGTGGCGATATGATAATCCACCATGTCCGCACTTGCAACGGAGAATACATCAATCAAAGGGTTGCCGTCTCCTTGGAGCAGCCACTGCAAAACACTCCATTTCGACGCCTGTTCCGCCGTGTACTTATCAGCATATTTTGCACTGCCGGTGCCGACCGACAATATCAAGAACTGGTGGACCCCAATTGGCTCATTCGACGAAGTTGATGATCTCAGGAATATTTGATCCTCAGCCGCCATCCTTTGTGTCACCGAGCTAATCGCAACAAGAGTCTGTTATATATACACATTAAACGTAACTCTCAATTATTCTGTGTTTTAATTTCTTTTTATTATTGGAAAGTATATATATATATATACATACCGGATTGTTTGCCACTACACCTCCGTCAATGAGGTTGAACTCGACCTTTCCGCCGTTAGAATTGGCGGTGTCAAAGTAATGGCCGGGGAAGTACGTCGGAGCTGCGGAGGTGGCAATGCATATGTCTGACAACTTAGCATTCTTTACGGGGGAATCCTTAACCTGTATGTACGTGCATGTTAGAATCTTTATTCATGCATGCATGTAGAACATATATAACGTTTGGAGAAGTTAAGGATATATATATATACATCGCAGGTGGTGAAAACTGTGGGTTCGAAGGTTTTGATATCAAAGGTAGGGATGACAACGTGAGTCAAAGTTTGGCTTATCCGGGTGTCTCCCAGTTGGTCCTGGAGGACTTGGTGTAGGTATTTGCCGTCGTACTTGGGGCCTACCAACAGGTTCTGCCACTCCGATGTGTTTCTGCAAAAACATCCCGAATCATTAAACTCTTGGAAAAATATAATAATATAATATATTAACAACGAAGATCATATCGACAACATATATATAGGAGTGCCCTTAGTTTATATGTCGTGTGCATGGCTGAATATAGTCGTATGTCATAATTAAATTGTGTGTACAATACTAATTTCTCATTTGTCCGCACAGTCTTCTATATATTACTGTTGAACGCATACATACATATATATATATATATATATATATATATATATATATATATATATGCCTAAGGAGGCACTTACGCTGGGAAGATCATTGGTCCGTGCTCCTTGTAGAAAGTGACGATATCCTTGCCGGCGTAGAGGGGGCGCTTGTTCTTGTCCGGCGCCGCTAACATGGTGGTCATCAGCCCTCCGGTGCTGGTTCCGGCAATCACATCGAAATAGTCCGCTACTCTTGCATCTGGACCGTCCAAAGCCTGATCCGTCACACAAAAACAAAAATTTATTAAACCAAGTTGGCCAGCCTATTGATTTACTAACAACAAGGTTACAAATTCGAGTCACAATGAAAACTGCCTATTAACTTTCTTGGTTTGAACTAGTCAACAAGTAACTTAGACTGATTTGCCTCCCTTTATTGGTCAAAAGGTCCCCCGGGTTTACGTAAGGCAAACACTCTTTGATTAGTGGATATGAGTTTCCATTCTTGATTTTTTCCACCATATTTTCTTCTCATGAATTGGCTAACCCATGGTTGTCTAATAAATATATTTAACTACCAATTACATGATGACAGTTAGGAGGGGAAATTTGTGGGTAAAATACAAGAAGCTTTATGTATGTATAGATATTGCAAAAAGAGTATATATATATATATATATATATATATATATATATATATATCATACTTGAAGCTGGTCTTCAAGGTAAGCAACAATGGTGCCGGGGATGATGCCACGGATGCCACCTCCATCAATGCTAAGGATGGTGACAACGCCGCCGGGAGGGATGGACGGAGCATTGTACTCTCCGGTGGCGGCGGTGGAGGATGGGGTTGTCTGGCTGTTTCCCATTTCAAAGGTTTGGTCTGATATATGTATAAAAAAATGTTATCAAGAGAAAATGATAAAAGATTTTTGTTGGTTTCTTTAATGTGAAGAGAAGAGCATAAGGAGAGGATTTATATAGTACTATGATAAGACAATTAATGCTTTTTTGAGTTTTTCCCTCACGTGGGACGCATGGGCTAACCGCTAATCCTTTCATATTAATTGCGTGTTGGATAATGTTAGGTGATTCTTCATTCTTTTACCAACACTTTCTTTGTCTGTGCGTTATAGGTATTCCGTTGGTTAATAAGGGTAAAAACAAAACTAATCAACAATATCAAAAACAAAGAATAATCCAAGCTAGAGAAACAATCATTTTTTATGTACTTGTTCTTGAAAATATTTTATTTTCTAGTTTGTTTCAATTCAACCAATTGGAATGATGTGAATATCAGTTCGTATTATTCAATGAAAACAAGGTACAAAAAACTAGTCACTCTTGGGAAGGAACCCCTAGAGAAAAATGAATTAATTCAATTCAAGTTTTTTCTTTGGCTCAATTACCGATTTGAAGATTTAACATGTCGTTATTGATTTGATACAGATAGAGCAGAGTTGTTTCAGTATCTTATCATTGAAAATTCTTTGATAGTATTACTATATACCTAGTACCAAAATCCTCCTTATTCTTAGCCCAAAAGATAAAAAAAGAAATAAATAAATTTAATTAGGTTTTCCATCAAGAAGATTGATGAAGTGATGCAAGCTGAATATGGTGAAGTGGTGCATCATGCTGTATGGACACAGGCTGCAACAACACAAGCTTTCCAGTGAAGGGCTTCTAAGTCTTTTCCCACCTTAGTTAGTTATAACCGTTTTTGGTTCCTTCATATAGTGTTTTCCTTCTTCTTCTAAATGTAATATACATACACATCTTTCCAGTTCACATCTCAATCAATGCTTCCTCTTTTCCCTTTCACCTTGTTGTTCATATGATCCAAGATAGTTCATCATGGTATCAGAGCTTCGCAGAAGCTATGCCGGAGCTGTAATAGTGGGAGCGGACGGCAACAGAAATGGATCGGAACATGCAGGAGCCTCCTCAGCTTCAACTAATCATACACGGCGAAGTGATGATTTTGACGATCCGCTGTACTTAAACATTACGGAAAATTCGAACTTATGCCTTGTTTCACCTCCATTAACCGAGCTCAACTACTCATCTTGGAGTAGATCAATGAGGATCGCCCTGGAGGTTAAGGATAAGTTCGAATTTGCGACTGGGAGCATTCCGAGTCCAGCAGAGAATGATCCGAAGATCGGATCATGGAGGAGATGCAATCGCATCGTGAGTTCATGGATTTTGAAGTCCATCAGTTCTAACATAGCAAAGAGCGTAATGTACTTCGATAAAGCCTCCGATATATGGAATGCACTACAGAAGAGGTACTCACAATCTGATTCACACAAGATCTCTGAAGTTTTGAATCAAATTTTAGGAGTGTTCAGGGAAGTATGACAGTGAATGAATATTTTACCAAGAGCAATGCTCTTTGGCAGCAGATGAATGCTCTAAGGCCCTTATTGATGTGTGAATGTGTGCCTAAGTGCTCCTGTACTCTAATGAGTAGAATGCATAAGCAAAGAGAGGAGGATTATGTGATCCGATTCCTAGAAGGTCTGAATGAGGATTATGAAACCATTAAGTCTGGAGTATTGGTCATGGATCCGATTCCAGAAATGGAGAAGGTGCTCAACATGACCTTGAAAGTTGAGAGGAAAATCAAAGGCTCTATCAGTTAGAAGTGCAATGATTTAATCCAATCCAATGCAGTTTACAATGATCAGACTCAAACTGCAGAGGAACATTCATTGTTGGCAGTAGCAGCATCCAATAACATAAAGAAATTCACAGGCAATGGAGGGAAAAATGTTCCAAAATGTACCTTCTGTGGCATGCTTGGGCATACAGTTGAGAAATGCTATAAAAAGCATGGCTATCCCCCAGGGTGGGTTGCAGGTTATAAGTCCAAGAATAAACAAGCTCAGGACACACAACACTCTTCAAATGCAGCTGTAAACCAAGCAGGTGATATAGGGATTTCTGCTGATCAGTTTCAAAAGCTTCTTTCTCTTTTGCAGAATCAAAATAAGGGGAATCAATCTTCTAGCAATGCTGCTGTGACTATTGTTGGTTCAGGAGTCAAACCTAGCTTCAAAGACTCCATGGAGGCTCCCAGTGAAGGTAGAAATACAATGGCTCATATATCTCCTAACAGATTTAAATGTGCAATGCAGTAGTCCTATTGCCTTGTTTTGTGACAACAGATCAGCTGTGGCAATATGAGAGAATCTTGTCTTTCATGAAAGGACAACATATAGAAATTGACTGCCATATAGTCAAGCAGAAAGTCCATCAAGGAGTCATTAAACTGATGAGCATCCCTTCTCATAAACAGATAGGTGATGGATTTACTAAACCTCTGCCTATTGCTCTATTTGATAATTTTCATGCTAAGCTGGGCCTTCAAGATCTTCATGCTCCAGCTTACGGGGGTGATGAAATGATGCAAACTGAATATGGTGAAGTGGTGCATCATGCTGTATGGACACAGGCTGCAACAACACAAGCTTTCCAGTGAAGGGCTTCTAAGTCTTTTCCCACCTTAGTTAGTTATAACCATTTTTGGTTCCTTCATATAGTGTTCTCCTTCTTCTTCTAAATGTAATATACATACACATCTTTCCAGTTCACATCTCAATCAATGCTTCCTCTTTTCCCTTTCACCTTGTTGTTCATATATATGATCCAAGATAGACTACTAGGCTACTCCCGCGGACATATTAAGGATATCATAAAAAGAACAAACAAAAACTATCATATGCTGAAAGAACAGAGAATCTGTTATGAGAAGAGCAATTGATAATGATTTATTCCATTCTTCTTTGAGAATTATTATTACATTCATAGTAATATAAACCGGAATTTTTCTTCCCCAGAACAGTACAAGATACACACACTAACACACATGACACATACTTATGTAAACAATCCCAGTCGCACAACCTTTTTTATGTGGCAGGGTATGTGCCTTATTCAACAATAATTCAAGTATCAGAAATAAAAGACACACGATATGATCTCATTATTGATCAACAACGTAACTTGGCTACTAGTTGCCGTTAAGTGCCGCGATTGTGCGGCGCCTCCTCTCCTCCGACAGCAAACCGGCCAACCTGAAACCCATCAAATCCCAAATTCCATCATCAAAACATATATATGCATCATATATAGTACTGTACTAATTAATGTTATGTTTTGTGTAGTGAAGAAATTAAAGTTGGTACCTTTTCAGAGCATCTTGGTTAGTTCCAGCTTGGGGGACCGGTTCATTCTTCCCTGTCAATAGATTCAGCTTCATAACCGGTTTGGACAACAAGTTCTTGCCAACCTCTTCAAGTGCATCCAAGTTTTCTTTTGTCGTAACATCAACCGAGGCGGTCGACCCTTTTAAATCATCCTCCTGCACCATTTTTACATTAACCAATTATATACCCACTTACAATTTACTATAAAACATTGAATTCAATTATCTGAATACTAGTTATGGGTTAAAGAAACGCTAAAAGGTTGAATTCGATCAATTACTTAGATATCACTGCTGAAAATTATGAAATTTCCGACCACCTAAAACTGATCTTCAATAAAATTGAAAGTAAAAAGTGGTCAGAAATAGCAATAATAGTTTTTCCGGATACTAAAAGTGGTCGGAACAAGGCTTTTAACTTGAAAATCACTTTTAGGTGGTCGTAAATTCCATAATTTCCAGCAATATATACCGAATTATGAGTTACTACCTGGATGCGGAGATAGTTATCTCCGGCTTTAAGAGAACGGAAAATGGTGGCGATATGATAATCCACCATGTCCGCACTTGCACCGGAGAATACATCAATCAAAGGGTTGCCGTCTCGTTGGGCCAGCCACCCCAAAACACCCCATGTCGCCGCCTGTTGCGCCGTGTACTTATCGGCTTTTTTTGCATTGCCGGTGCCGATCGACAATATCAATAAATGGTGGCACCCAGTTGGATCATTCGACGAAATTGATGATGGCAGGAATTTTTTATCCTCAGCCATCATCCTTTGTGTCACCGTGCTAACCGCAATAAGAGTCTGTTATATATACACATTAATTAAACTCTCAATTATTCTGTGTTTTAATTTCTTTTTATTGGAAAGTATATATATATATATATATATATATATATATATATATATATATATATATATATATATATATATATAGGGAAAGGATCAGGTACATTTGTGGCTTCCCGTACGGTTGTGCGGTTGATTAATGTGCGTGAGTTTAATTCTTGCGTGAGTCTTGTGCGTAATGTGCTTGAGATTTGTACTTAACGTGCGTGAGTGTGTAATGTTAATGTGCGTGAGTTTTGTGCTTAATGTCTTTGAGGTTTGTGCTTAATATGCCTGAGGTTTGGGCTTAATGTGCCTGAGTTGAGTTCAGAATTACGAGCTCAGAAAGAAGCAGAAAAGAAAAAGAAGGTGGGTGAAGCTTTTCTGATATTGTGTGAATAATGGATGGATATATGTAAACGCACATATGACTGTTCTGATTTTATATTTTATGTGTACAGAAGAGAGAAAAGATTGAGAAAGAAGGAAAGAAAGACTCCCGTACAGATGTTTCAATCTGTGAGAGCATAAAAAAACATTGTGAATGAGGCTGAAACAAAGGATACCATGGAGGGTGGTAAGAAAACTCAAAAGGACCCTTAGTATGCAAAGCAAAACAAAACAAAATTCATTCCTCCACTACTTCCAAATAAAAACAAGAAGAAAATACAGCAGTGGATGCGCATAATTTTTACAGCAGTGGAGGAAGAACATACGTACGCATTAATCACACAACGCACGCATCTTAGGCACAAGACTCACACATCTTAATACAAAACTCACGCACATTAAATACAAATCTTACGCACATTAATCAACCGCACAACCGCACTAGAACCTTTCAATATATATATATATATATATATATATATATATATATATATATATATTTATTTATTTATTTATTTATTTATTTATTTACATACCGGATTGTTTGCCGCTACACCTCCGTCAATGAGGTTATACTCGACCTTTCCGCCCTTAGCATCGGCGGTGTCAAAGTAATGGCCGGGGAGGTACGTGGGAGCTGCGGAGGTGGCAATGCATATGTCTGACAACTTAGCATTCTTTTCGGGGGAATCATTAACCTGTATGCATGCATGTAAGTGAACGTTAGAATCTTTATGCATGCATGTAGAACATAACGTTTGGAGAAGTTAAGGATATATATATATATATATATATATATATATATATATATATATATATATATATATATATATATATATATATATATATATATATATATATATATATATATATATCGCAGGTGGTGAAAACGGTGGGTTGGAAGGTCTTGATATCGAAGGTAGGGATGACAACATGAGTCAAAGTTTGGCTCAACCGGGTGTCTCCCAGGTTGTTCTTGAGGACTTGGTGTAGGTATTTGCCGTCGTACTTGGGGCCTGCCAACATGTTTTGCCACGCCGATGTGTTTCTGTAAGAACATCCCATGCATGAATTATTAAACTCATCGAAAAATATAATATAACTAGTATTTGTCCCGTGCAATCCACGGGAATTATGTTATAAAAATATACCTTATATAGGGTTTATTCATATATAAAAAATTTGTTATTTAATAATTATGTGTGAATTGCTATGATAAAATTATGAACATAAATATATTTACAATTAAAATAAGAATTGATATTTAAGGTGGTGATTACTACAAATCTTAAACTATATTAAAAATTTAGTACATAGTATTTAATATTACAAATTTTTAAGAACTTAATAAACTACAATAGTAATTGAATTACAATTTTCAGAGTCACCACGGATCAAAATTTTTAGACCTTTGAGATTTCTAACTTTAAATGTAACATCATAATTGACCTTTAAAGACCAAACAATTATTTATAAATATAAATGACTATTAATCATCATCACCATTTTCCAAATAATAATATAGAAGATCCAAAAAATTAAAGAATACAATAATAATAATGATAGAGATAATAATTGTAACAATAATTGCTCACCAAAATAATAATTGTAACAATAATTGCTCACCAAAATAATAATTGTAACAATAATTGCTCACCAAACCATATGACTATATTATAGTTAAGATATATTAACTATGAGGAGACGCTTACCCTGGAAAGATATATGGTCCGTGCTCCTTGTAGAAAGGGACGATATCCTTGCCGGCGTAGAGGGGGCGCTTGTTCTTGTCCGGCGCCGCTAACATGGTGGTCATCAGTCCTCCGGTGCTCGTTCCGGCAATCACATCGAAGTAGTCCGCTATTCTTGCATCCGGACCGTCAAAAGTCTGATCCGTCACACACAAAAATAAAATTTATTAAATCCCAATAACCCCAAACAAGTTGGTCAGCCCTATTAATTTAGTCAGGCCTATTAATTTACTACTAACTATAAGGTTGCAAATGGAAGCCGCCTATTAGCTTTCATGGTTTGAGACGGTCAGCCGACAATCTAGACTGATTTACTTCCCAGTAGTCCTTTGTAGGTCACAAGACAGGGTTTACCTAATGCAAACTTTTGGCTAGTGACGGGGACTCCTCTCCTGATTTTTACCGCCGATCCAAACTTTCCTCTCATAATGTGTCAGTATCTTACATTCATGGGGTGCCAATGAATTGGCTAACCACCATTATCTAATAAATATATTTAACTACCAATCACATGATGACACATCAGGAGGAAAATACAGGACTCCTTATGTATGTATAGATATAGATATTGCCAAAAGAGTGTATATCATACTTGAAGCTGCTCTTCAAGGTAAGCGACAATGGTGCCGGGGATGATGCCACGGATGCCACCTCCATCAATGCTAAGGATGGTGACAACGCCGCTGGGAGGGATGGACGCAGCAATGTACCCTCCGGTGGCGGGGGACGATGGGGTTGTCTGGCTGTTTCCCATTTCAAAGGATTGGTATGATATATAAAAAAAAAAAAAAATGTTATCAAGAGAAAATGATAAAAGATTTTTGTTGGTTTTTTTAATGTGAAGAGAAGAGCACAAGGAGAGGATTTATATAGTACTATGATAAATAAAACAATTAATTCATTTTTCCTCGCGAGGGACGCATGGGCTAAGTGGCTAGCTAACTACTAACTATGTGCTAACTGCGTGCCCCTCGAGGTTATCCTTTCATATTAATTGCGCAATCATGGTACCATGAACCAGAGTTTACACTGCGGTAACTTATGCTTTGCAACCGTGTGCACATGTATGGTGCACACGGTTGCAAAAACAACATCGTTTTAATTAAAAACGTGCGTCCGACTTCATAAAAAAAAATCAGTTTTGATTACCGTTAACAGTGTTATGTTGTGCATAATTTGAACTATATATTCAGAATTAATGAACTATATATCCAGAATGAATGAACTACATAATTCAAATTATGCACAACATAATGCCGTTAACGGCAATCGAAACTGGTTGTCTTTTTTTTTAAAAAAAAAAAAAAAAAAACTCGGACGTCAAAACGACGTCGTTTTTGCAACCGTATGCACCATGCATGATGCACACGGTTGCACAGCATAACACTCCCCACACTGCACTATGGATTCTGGTTCATGTGTTTGTGTTTTATTTTATGGCTTTTTGTGTCTTACGTTATGGAATTTGTACCTTATGAGTATGAATTCTTTATCTAGAACAAATTAGTAATTGTGTTTTATGTTATAAATTTATGTGTCTTGTGTTGTGAAATTTGTTGCCTATGAACATTAGCTGTTAGCTGATTGGGTTAATTAGAATGTATACTTAGTTAATAAAATTAGTTGATTGTAGAATGATGTTTGGCATAATTTTTTTTCTCAAAAAGCTAATTAAAAAAACTGCTTTGAGCAGCTTTTTAAATTTTAGCATTTTGGGTTACAAAAAGCTAATTAACCAAACATTTATATTGATTTTTAACCAAGTCAAACTGTTAATAGTGGTCAAATAAGTCAAAATTGACCTATAGGCTAACTATTTTATCAAACAGGGCCAAATTATGTACATAATCATATTTGAAAAATAAATTAAATATATAATATGTATATATGTCTTGTGTTATGATTTTTTGTGTCTTGTGTTATGAAATTATATACCTTACGTGTATGAATTTTGTACTTCGCCTTTTCAGTCCAGCTGGGTTTATAATGATATGCTATGTGTCTTGTGCTTTGAGTTTTTATGTTTTGTGTTAAGAAACTCTGTGCCTTAAATTACGTGTATGAATTTTGTATCTTATTATTTCAATTCATGATTCATAATGCTATGTGGATCCTGGTCCATGATATAAATTGCCATTAGTTGCGTTTTGGAAAATGTTATCCACGTTTTTGAAAAAGATTTCACAGTACAAGAACAAAATAGAAGTTTGGAACTTACCATCTGCCACCCATGTGGAATTTATTATACACATTGATGGAATTAATTAAATTGGGGGTCCGAATTAATTAACCCGAATAAATATAATAAGTATATAATTGAATAATAATAGGGGTATGAATATTGGAACGAATATAGTCATGGAGACTAATATTGTATTAATTGAATATATCACGCTATTACAGGAGTACGAGACGTTTAATAACAAGACAAGTAAAAGGTAAAGACTCCAGATGCCTTGATTAGGACATAAAGGAGGGATTTTATAGCCTATGTCGTCATAACAACCCCGGAGAAACCGTTGGAGATGACCCAACCGCGCGCGCCTTGGGCAGCAACAAGCGCCGCATGACTCGGACAACGCGGAGACCTCGTCCCCGGTCGAGCCCGGAGCTCGGCCGACCCCGTGGTGCCGAGCTCACGTGGGCCGACCCGGGGTGCCGAGCCCATGTTGGCCGACCCAGGGTGATTCGTCATGCCGCGTGCGTAGATAACTCGGTGCCGGGTTTGATCCGCTCCATATTACTTCGCTCCGTGTCCGCTCCGTAATTATTCCATCACACAAAATGTCTACAATTTGTATTTTCTTTATATATATTATATACTTAGGTGACCTCAACTTCGTTGGACTAATTCTAAGTTTACTGGATCCCGCCCCTAGAGTCGAGTCGTGTAATCAGCTCATCGGTCAAACCCTATTCTTCTTCACTACAAGAAAAATGCACATAGACAACGGTTATTAACCGTTGTCGTAGGGGTATACTTTCTGTTGTTGAAGCCGGTGTTGTTGTAGGTCATGCGCATAGACAACGGTTTTTTAACCGTTGTCTTTTCTACCAACGACAACGGTTGTCTATTAAGTGTTGTTGAAGCCGGTGTTGTTGTAGGTCCTGCGCATAGACAACGGTTATTAACCGTTGTCTTTTCTACCAACGACAACGGTTTTTTAACCGTTGTCTATTAAGTGTTGTTGAAGCCGGTGTTGTTGTAGGTCCTGCGCATAGACAACGGTTATTAACCGTTGTCTTTTCTACCAACGACAACGGTTTTTTAACTGTTGTCTATTTAGTCTTGTTGAAACCGTTGTTGTTAAAAGTCACGCAATAGACAACGGTTATTAACCGTTGTCTTTTCTACCAACGACAACGGTTTTTTAACCGTTGTCTATTAAGTGTTGTTGAAATCGGTGTTGTTAAAAGCCACCCAATAGACAACGGTTATTAACCGTTGTCTTTTCTACCAACGACAATGGTTTTTTAACTGTTGTCTATTAAGTGTTGTTGAAACCGGTGTTGTTAAAAGTCACGCAATAGACAACGGTTATTAACCGTTGTCTTTTCTACCAACGACACGGTTTTTTAACCGTTGTCTATTAAGTGTTGTTGAAACCGGTGTTGTTAAAAGTCACGCAATAGACAACGGTTTTTAACCGTTGTCTTTTCTACCAACGACAACAGTTTTTTAACCGTTGTCTATTAAGCGTTGTTGAAACCAGTGTTGTTAAAAGTCACGTACATAGACAACGGTTTTTAACTGTTGTCTTTTTTTTTAAAAGACAACAGTTATAAACCGTTGTCTATTGGGTGTTGTTGAAACACCCATAAACTGTTGTCTTTTGTAGAAAAGTCAACGGTTTCTAACTGTTGTCTATTGTAAAATAGACAACGGTTTTTAACCATTTTCACCTGCTTAAATTATAATCGTATAAAAAAAACAATTTATCCATTCACCATATGTTGCAAAGTGTAGTTACATAATTGTGCACAAGCTAATAAGGTTCAAAATAACAAGTCAAAAGACAACACATGACCAATTCTAATTATCATCCAAGTCACCACTACAACAATTCCCCGAACCAATTCAAGTCCAGATGATCACAACGTTCGAATGACCAAATCATACCTACTCTATATGACTTGATAGAATATCGGCCCATTCAGATCGCACCAGATCAATAACCTCTTTGTCATAATCAACTTGTTGAAACTACATGCAAAAATTAAGAAAATAAATTAGTATAGATATAAATAATTTGCAATGAAATGAAACTGCCCTCTTACTCTCACCACATTCATACTCAAGCTGTTCATAACAAGATAATGAGTTCCCTAAAGAGAATAATAACAAGTGTAGCCAACAAGTAAAGAAACACACTTCAAAAAGCAATACAAATGCACTCCCCAAAAAATGTTAACAGATCAGATACACATGATTCAGGTTCTTGTCTTAGCCTTCAAGTCTTTGGGAGATTACTAGACACCCAAATTTGATAAACAATTCAGATAAAATCTCATGAGAATATAATGCATGAAACTTAAACACAAACGACAAAGAAATCCTTTATTAATTACAAAACATCAAGCACTAAAATGCCCAAAATTTCGAGCTTTCACACGCATTCTACACCCAAATTTCAGAGCAACAAACTTATCATTATACTTTGTTAACTTTCTAGTCTTGAAGTTTAAATATTCAAACACAGATATAGATATGTGCATTCATATTAAGAAGACAGTATGAATGTATGATGGAATATTTATATAGTTAATTAAAGGGCTTACCATCAATTGGCTTCTCACTTATCTGTTGTCCTTAATGCATCAAACATGAATTAGGTAATAATTAGATCATGACTAGAAATCTTACTTGACGCTCCACTGTGAGTGGTGTATGGGAGCCATCAGAAAGTGGCACCTTTGGTGTTGGTATTAGAGAAGCAAGGAGGCCAACCAAGCCATTATTCATATACCCTAGATAGTGCAACGTTGTTGTGCTTGCTGACATGACAGTAGAAACTAAAGAATTTGTTTGAGCAAAAGTAGGAGTCGTTATATGAAGGCGCTCCACAGCTATTTTATTGAGTGCAGTATTATCAAGAACAACAACACAATTAGCATTAAGTGTCAGTCTCTTGAGTGTGAGAAGGGAGTTGTATGGCTGAACAACTACATCACTTGTCTCATTTTGACACAAAATAAATTTAGAACAAACACAACACATTTGATTCAGCAACCAGTGCAAGACAAAATGGGTTTCAACTAAAACTTTTTTATTACTTAAATGACAAAAATACAAAGAAGAATAACAACTTGATCCAAATTGACAAAGAGACAAAACCTGAGCCTGTTCCACCAGCAATTGAGTGACAGAGAACAAAACCCTCAAGACTATCACTTCCATGAGCCTGTTCCACCAGCAATTGAGTTACTAAGAACTCAGATTTTTAACATAAATGTAACAACATTGAGGCAGAAATTTCCCATAAATTTTTCAAATCGTCAAACCCCAATTCCCCAACCCTAGCTTCAATCCAAAATTGTTTAACATAAACACACACATTGATACAACCAGATAATATTTGGATGAATTTCACAGCTTATTACATTTCAAGAGAAAAACTAACCTTCAATTTTTCACACTAGTTTACTGACTTCTTCATGGCGGCGGCGGTTGGAGCGACGACGGCAGATGAGGGAGGCGGCGATGGCGGCAGAGGTTGGAGGCAGCGACGGCGTCGGAGGTTGGAGGCGACGATGGCGGCAGAGGTTGGAGGCAGCGACGGCGTCGGAGGTTGGAGGCAGCGACGGCGTCGGAGGTTGG